GTCTTATCTTCACTCGAGTGGCATTCGAGTGAGAATGTTACGAGTACCGAGTGACTCGAGTGAAAAAAAATCACTCGAGTCCCATCACTAACCTATTGAACATGCGCCACTCGCGCTTTACGTCACGTGGTCTCAAACAAGACGCCTTGCTATTGGTCCTTAGAATAATGATGACCAATATCAACCAATGAAAATGCAGTATTTCATTCAATTTTTCCAACGAAAACAAACAATTCTGGGCAATCGTTAAAATCGATGTTAGGACGTTTTTTCTTAATCGATAAAACTTTGGCATATATTCCATAATAGCTTTTTCCCGCGACTCCGTCCGCGTGAAATTAAAAAAAAAAACAAATGTATAGCCTATGTGTTCTTCCAGACCAGACTATCCTCTACATCTATGCCAAATGTCACCGAAATTTTTTCAGCCGTTTAGGCTACAAACTCTAACAAACATCCATCCATGTAAACTTTCGCATTTATAATGTTACTGATATAAATACTAAACTCATAATAAGCCATCGTTAAACTAGAAATAATAACAACCCAAAAAGGTACAACGTTACTAAGACTTTTTTTATATCCAATTTCTCGACAATATTCAATAATCCCACAACCATCTTCATATAATCGAGTATCTTTTGTAGGGGTTTGATTTTTGCAGAAAAATAATAAATTTGTTTTATTAACCAATCAATGAGGTGCATAATGAGTATAAGATACCTTTCCCCTTTTTTGTTGGGTGGCGTCGACAACTTACACACTTTAGTTTTTTTTAATTATAAACAGCTGTTATGTAATTAAATGCACTCGTAACCTTCCTGTTAGGTGTAGGAAGAAGTATGAATGGGAACAAGGTGGCGAGCTATTAGATGGAATAATAATACGAGACTTTTTTTTATTCATTTATTAATAAACTAACTTTACAAATTTAATAATAGCAGAACAATAATAATCCTTATTTCTTTTCATTCATAATAATATGATAATAATTCACCATGACTCATCGTAATTTATGAATATAATTATATGATTTAAAAAATAATGTAGAACGACAGAGAAAGCAACTTACAGAAAATAATGCACAATAAAAATGGGGTGGTAGACGAACTTCCAATATTTGCAACAACATTTTTAGTCGTTCGCGTTTGCAACCCCCCACCCGGGGGAGGGGGGCGCCCTTTCCGATTTAAACTCTACTAGAAAAAATATTACAATAACATAAAGTTAATTTTTTATTGTATCAATTCTTTTATTTACTATTTCTCCATCTCTATGTACAAGTTATATCATGTTTACATACCAAAACTATATGCTATCTGTGTTGTGTAACCCCTATATACTATATTTATAGTGTTTTAAAACTATTTGTATTTTCTCTTTTATAATTATGTATAATTGTATATAATAGATAATTCATCGGCATAAATTACTATCAATTAGTCGAAAATTAAAAACAAAACAAACTAAAAAAAAATGATTACTATACACCCAATATACAGAGCTAGTTTTGAGAGTCCATTTTCTATTTTTACATGGTACAAGTAGTTCATTTATATATTTATAGTACAAGGCTTCGTATTCCTACGGAGGGGTCGGTTTGCGGCGACCGCCGCTGGCGCTACTGTCGCCGATACGTATGTACAAGGTAAAATCACCGACTGCACCCCCATCAAAATTCATCCAAAAAGAAAATCTTAACACATAACATATATTAAATTTCCCCATCTATACATAAAAATTTACAAGAGATTGTACATCGGCCGTACCGATTATTCTCTTAAACTAATAATTTAAAACGATTAAAAAAAACAAGGCTTTCTTTTTTTGTTACGCAGTTCGTGTTACACCGCCCGACGCCGGCGGCTGGCCATCGCTCCACTAGTATATTACTAATATTATTCAACAAACACAGAAGACCCACAGCTCCCGCGGCACATTATAGGGCACTATCAGGCGATGTGATTTTTTATAAAATATTATATACTATATCAATACTACGTACATACTAAACATTTTGTATCACTGTTCCACCCTAGCGGATTATCTGAAGTAGGAAATATAAGGACAAAGTTGTAAGTGGATAGACAACTGTGAAAATCCATAGCCACACTTGAAAACATTGCTATCTCTACTTTTCCAAAGGGAATGACAGAGATAACAATATCAAGTGTATAGCATGGAAACTTATCAGATTATTCCAGACAGACCGGAGCGTAGAATACAATACATTTTTTTTATTTCAAACAAATTTGACCTTCATTGAAACAAGGTTTAATTTGACTTTTTACGTTTTCTCATGATAAAAGACGTGGCAATTAAAATAAAACCTTGTTTCAATTCAATAAAGCTGAAATTTATTTGAGACAAAAAACATTCTATTCTATGCTCCGGTCTGCCTGAATAGACCCTTAGGATATAGGTATGGGATGAATAGAGTGTTCTTAAGGCAATCGTTACTATAAACCGTTTCGTATAAAAGTAATTAAAGTCACATCCACGTATTATTGCTTTGGATCTTATCCTCTCAGACATTAGGAACCGCAAAAAAACATGCAAAAATATTTCTATCTTGCTCACCGCTTAGACACACGCTACACTATGAACACGTACAAAATTTTATTATTCAGCGAAACAAATTGCAAGGTTCAATTTTGATACATTCATCTATCGCAATACGCGAACAAATAAGTACCCTAAAGTGAACATTACTCACACATGATTCCATAAGAATCGAAAAATATATTTAATCTATGCATTACTATAAGTGACTGTATATCAAAATATTGTGATAATAAATACTAGCAACTACAAAAGAAAAAGAAAACAATTTTTCTTTTTAAATTCCAATCAAATATGTACAGTGCAAAAGAAATGCTGGCATATTACAAGGATCACTGGGTTAAAATGATTCAATACATTTTAAAACGATTTTAAAAATATTTAAATAGTCAACAATTAAAGGGCAGATTTTAATATCGAGAAATAAAACGGGGGCGTCAAAGCAAAAAGTTTAGTATACTGGAAGCCCAAACAGATGATCTGTTGAAACACTCAGTCACGTTTATTATCATTTCACTATGAAATTATTCATGTTTCGTGTCATATTAAAATTACAATTATTGGTCGTGAATTCCTTAAATATAAAAACACTAATGTTACATCGTAATAGCGGCGAATGCGTTAAACGGGAAGCCGCCATCTTGGAACGAGCGTCACTCTTTTTTCAAATTTCGAATCAATAAATATAAAAAACAATAACGTATCCAAGATGGCGGACTCTCGTAAACACGAATATACTACACGCGGTTCACGTCACCGATCACGAAATTACATGTTACGTGCAAAAACGTATGAAAATATCTTTTAAAACTTTATGCATTTATTTTTATATCTCTCGGGTTTTTATCCTATTATAACAATGTGCCTACAGTCGAGTGCTTTTTTGTACAATAATGAAAGATTTCTTCCTAGTCGCTATACTAAGGCTCCCACGGTCGACCCAAGCTCATCCGATGAATTCAGCCCAATGGTGGTAAAAAAATACGCCGACGACCTTAAAAATACTCAATAGAGAAAAGTAACTTACATTTAAATGAAAACTAGTGCTCTATAGTGAAATGGTAACATTTGTTCACTAGTTAAAAAAATAATATAAGCGGTTGAAGTTTTTGTGATGTCAGGAACGGGGCAACTGTTAACACTTCGTACCATCGAATGGCCACCATCACTTCCCCGCGCTAACCACGCGCAACCACAACACAACACAACATTAAACTTTCACCGTCACATCTCTGCCATTTATATTGCACAAACTATCCAAATCGTTGAGATTCATCAAATCCGAAAAGCCAACAAATTATTTTTTTTAGATACACACCACATATAAAAATTTGACACACACATTAATATTGATTAATTTCACTTTGACAGTTTGTTGATGTAGGCAATAGTTTTTGTTTAATTTGTCTGTGAGATGTCAACAGTTGTAGAGCCAGTTGTGTATGAAGCAGGGGTGGGGGCGGTGGGGGCGCAGCGGGCAGGGTCAGTCTAGCGGCAGCGGGTACAGGAGCGCGAGCGGCAGCGGGAGCGGGGCTTGCGGCGGCGCGGGGCGGGGCTCCGCGCGCCGCCGACGTCACTTCCCGTCGCGGGAGGCGCGCCGTCGCCTCACCGCGCCCGCGGTTGCGCCAGGACTTTCGCCCACTGAAAATATATAAAATTCTGTAAAATTCAATATTTCTACCTCTGGTGGATAAGTGTCATACAATCATACTAATACATATCGTAAATTCGATAGTTTAGATGGATGGATGTTCGAGTTTGTAGTCTAAACAGCTGAACCGATTTCGATCAATATTTGGTACGGATATAAAGAATAGTGTAAAGAAACACACAGGTTACTCACTTTTGTTTTTTTTTTAATTCCAAGCGGACGGAGTCGC